AACTAAGTGAAGTCGGCCATGACTACGCCAACCTGGGTGACGCCGAAGAGGTCGGCGACCCGCATCGGGTCTCGACGGTCGACGGAGGTGACCGTTGACATAGCACTGACCTACTCTCAAGACAACGCCGACGTAGCGGCCTAATCTGGTCGACCAAATAACCTGGTCGAGGAAGTTCTGCAAGGGTGCGCGCGCTTTGCCCCATGTGGTTTTGACGAAGTCGACTAGCGAGCCGTCCTTCGGGTCGAGGACCAAGTGCTCGACGACCCGACACCTGCGCAATGTCCATGACGGTGCACGACGTGCACCTACCTAGCAGGTGTGCACATGAGCATACATGGTCACCTGCGGTTGCAACGCTAGCAATCTGCCCTGATGCACTGCTGGCAAGCCGCCCTGGTGCAACCCTAGCAGGTCGCCATCTTGCAGTTTTGGCAAGCCACCTTCCAGCTGCGTTGGCACGTCGCCGACTGTAAGCCGCCTTTGTGCTACAGTGGAAGTCGACTTCGTGGTTGCACGTCGTTCTTGCTATTTCGACTTTGCTAGGCCGTTGTGTGTTCGTTCATTGTCTTTTTGCTAAAGAAACTCGCCATTTCCCCCCCCATAAACACGCAAGCAGAGAGAACATAAGCAACGCATCGATCACTCGCACAACCGCGTAGCCTCCCACATAGTCCAACTACAACCGCTGTAGAGTGACTCTTTGCATGGAATGTCCTTCAAATTGTTCCTTCATGCCCTCATGAAAGTGATCTATCACTTCTTTGGGCAGCATCAGCTCCCTCTCTCACAATCGCAGCAGTCGCGCTCGCTCCATTCAATCATATGCTAAGGCATCGCCTTGCAACATCTTGCCCAACCCTTCAAAGAGCTTGATGAAATCAAGCCCCTCCCGGTTTCAAGACCTGAAGTTGTCGACCTTCATCATGTAACATATTCAAAGAAACGGTCCGTTATCTCTATATTCATTGTTTCACGTGATATGTGCGTCCATTCATGCAGGTAATCCAATCACATTCGCGTCCTCTCTCTCTCTCTCTCTCTCTCTCTCTCTCTCTCTCTCTCTCTCTCTCTCTCTCTCTCTCTCTCTCTCTCTCTCTCTCTCTCTCTCTCTCTCTCTCTCTCTCTTGATGTTGCATCCCATTTTTCTCATCGTACCGATGTTGCCTCCCATTTATCCCATCAGGCTAAAGCCAGATTTTGTATGACGAACCCTTCTGTAAGTCTCGCTCTGAACCTGCTCCGTTTTTCAGTTCGTAAGAGTGGCACAGCCTGAGGTTCTCCTTCCCCACTCCCTTCCCCCCTCTTCCACCACCCCCCCCTCCCACCCCCCCCCCCCCCCCCCCCCCCAATCTCTGTGCCCCAATGTCCTCTGATCAATGCACCTCCACGCGGAATTCCGGTCTTGTCAGCGCGCCCGTGTCGCCACCAATTCTTTTTCATCGAGCGCCGCCCTTATTAGCAAAAACCATATCCAGTATCCGCCCCAGAGACGTGGATTCATCGCTGCCCTCTGGATAGAGAGTGCCCAAATACGTGTCCTAGTACTCTTTCGGATTGTTGAAACAACCTTATTATAGTGGTGTGTGCTTCAATGGGGGCATTCTTCCTTGTACAGATGAGAGTCATTTTACCTTTAGCGGTGTATGGATTTCATTTGTAACATATTCCGGGGCCTGTTATGAGGACATAAACACGTGTGCGTCACAACAATTGCTAGTCGTTCGGTAAGTATCAGCCAATAAAAAAACCAAGTATGCTGCACGTGGCACTGAATTAGCTCCAGCATAGCAACGGTTACCACGTGGTCTTTCTAGTGCCAGCGTGTCAAATTGGCAGGCCGCGGCGACCATACTTTTCAGGGCAGGCCAGCTGGGCAGGGCTCCTTTAGAAACATTTACCGAGATCCGTAAAAGCGGCACGGATAAAAGTGTGGTACAGCTGACCCAGCTCTCCTTGATTTGGAGGGGCACATTGTACCATGCAAGAAGAACCACACAAGCGGCACACATAATAAAAACATTTGAATCGTGGATTTAGGTAGAAAATGGAAGTGGTCAGGAACAAATACGCTCACTGAATGTGAGAGGCAGACTTGTTCAAATCTGTGCCATTCTACCCATACTCTGTTGCGGTTATGAACGGTCAGCCCCGACGTCGCGAAATATGGAGGTGAAAGGGTGGTTGTCCACAGAAAACAGCTGACCCGACAACGGCCATTCACAACACAGGTCCTCCCCACTCCCGCTCTTTTCCACGCCACCTGGGGCCAGACTTTATCCAGCCCAAAGTACTGTGCAACGAAAAAGAGAGAGCGAGAAAAGCCTGGATGGAAACTTTTCAGCCGCGGTGGGGGGAACCTTCCCTGACATTTTCTTACCTCGCCCTTATCCAACCACGCCAGGCAAAGCGGGCGACGAACGAATCCGATCCATGCTTCTATGCTTGCTGTCGTCCACATGTGATCCCACCACAAGTTACAACCATTCTCCGATTTGGTGGGACTCCCTTACTTGTCCAAGCCCATCCTGGTCAGGCCATGTGATGGAAAGGAAGGAAACCTAGAAACCTAAACTATGGTTACTAGCAACCTAGGGCTTCTCGTTCTAGCAGCGGCGGTACACTAAATGCTCTACGCAACCATTTTCCTCCTAGGACGTGCGTGCCGTTTCTCAATCCTTTCTCGCAGGACTCGCGCGGCGTTTCACAGACGTCCCCTCACTATCGAGATGCGTGCACCCTCTCGGCGCCCGGAGCCCTTACCTCGTTCCTACTAGTTTCCCCTTTTCTTAATGCATCTCTCGTCCTTGCCGTTCCCTATCCACGACCCGTCCCTTTCCATCGTGTGCTACCGTTTACCATGGTCAGTCTATTCCGCGCCACCTCGTCCCCTGCCACCGCCACCACGACCGCCTTTAACGAGAAAACCCAGAGCGCGCAATGCTGCTTAGCCGCTGTCGCCGTATCTGACGCCGCGTATCGCGGTCCGAAATGTCCGGCCTGCGCTGCCCAGTGCAACGTTTCGCGACTTTCCGACGATTGCTGGGGCGGAGGCGGAGGTGGTGGCGGAGGCGGAGACGACGGCGGGGCGCGCGTGGGGGGAGCAGAAAGCAGCGAGTTTTGGGGAGCACCGCCGTGGTTCACACCCGCAGAAGGCATCGGGATTCATGCCGCTTCCACCGCCAAGATCGGTAGTACCAAGGTCGTGCCGACTACCACCGGCGACGGCTTTGGCGGAAGCGGTAATGACGGCGGTGCAGCGGGACTCGTTCACGGCGCGCATTCGCGTCAGTTCCATTCGGCTTGGTTTTCAGATCGCACCGACTGTGTTCCTACTAGCGGCAATATGGGTGGCACCGCGGATAGCAACGCGCGTAACGCCGTCAGCCCTTCCGCCGTTTCCCGCGCCAAAGCGCCTCTCCTGCCGTCCGCGCTTGGCGTATTGCGCTCCCTGCGCGGCGGAACGTCCTCCGCTTTCCGAGCGGAGGGCAACAATAAGGGGAACAAGGAGGGGAGTTTTAGGGGGAACAAGGAGGGCAGCAATAGGGGGAACAAGGAGGGGAGTTTCAGGGGGAACAAGGAGGGGAGCAGTAGGGGGAACAATGAGGGAAGTTTCAGGGGGAACAAGGAGGGGAGTTTCAGGGGGAACAAGGAGTTGAGCAATAGGGGGAACAAAGAGGGAAGTATCAGGGGGAACAAGGAGGAAGGCAGCAACAGGGGCGGTAGGGAATGCAGCAATAGGGGCGGTCATAAGGACGGCGGTAACAGGGCAACACTGGGGACGGTGGTTCTCGGGCTAGTGGGACTCGGAAGCCCAGCGGCAGCGGCGGGAAGGTTTGCGGGATCTGAGTGTGCTGAGATGTCTGCGGATTTTCACAGCACACGCGGCGGCGGCGGCGGCGGCGGCGGCGGCGGCGGCGGCGGAGGAGGAGGTGGAGGGGAAGAGGAAGGAGCACCAGGAAGAATATTTAGAGGAGCCGGAGGAGGAGGTTTGGGAGGATGCGAGGAGGGGGAGATGGGGATGGGGATGGACGAGCGGTGTCCGCGGGAGGCGGCGTGCAGGGCGGTGGTGCGGCGGTTGCTGCGCGACGGCGTGCCCGTGGATTCAGCGCTGGCGCGCGCGCTCTCGCTGCACTTCCACGCCCTCCCGCCCACGTGCGCTTCCCCTCCTTAACCTTACCAGCCTCCGCAACCCTTGACAGCGACGAGTCCGTCCGTGCGTCCGTCCGTCCGTCCATGTGCCGTCAATTGTTTAGCGAGTTTCTGGACTGGTTACATTCCTTCCTCCCTCCAATCTCAGCCTTTCCCTTTGTTCATTCCGCTTCTTGTCCCTCCCTTCCGCCCCTTCTCTGCTCCCAACCGGCAGTTATTCTGACAGTCTGCCCTCTCCGCACGCGGCGCTAGCGCACGTCCGCTTGCTGCGCCAGGCCGCCGCTCTTCCGCTTGGCGCGCCCGCGGTCGACATTTCTCTCCGCCACTGTGCGTGTGTCTCCGCTTCCGTCTCCGCGGCCGCCTCCGCTTACCCGGAAGGTTCCGCGGAGGCTGCTCGCAACTGCGCGCTTAGACCCGTTACAGGCGGCGCAGCCGCATGCGCGGGGGAAGACGTCTCCGCGTGTGCTATGGTGGCGGAAATAGATAATTACCGCCGAGAGCCATGGGGGGAAGGGATTCCCGCAACTCCGCCATTGCCTCTCCGTCATGGCGCACCCGCTTCTGCCGCCGCTTCCGCTTCCGCACCGGCTTCCGTTTCCGCACCCGCTTCCGCTTCCGCGTCCGTGTCCGCATCCGCGTCCGCATCTCCCATGCTCCTAGACACTACCGGGCCCCACAGCGCAGCCGCACTCCCGGCGGCGACGGCAGCGGCGGCGGTTTCAGCTGCAAGAGGGGATGGCGGCGCCGCCGTAGCAGAAGCGGCAGCAGCAGCAGCGCGGGGGTCAGCAGCGGCGGTATCAGCGTCTGCGGCGGAAAGAGAAACGGCTTCCGCGGGAGACAGCGCAGGGATGGAACCAGCGGCAGCGGGAGCCCTGGGCGCAGAGGGCGCAGCGGGCGCAGCGGGCGCAGCCGGCGCAGGGGAAACGGCGGGGGCAGCGGGGGCGAGCGTGTTAGGTGCGCACATGGCGATACACATGCCGATGCGCGCGCTGATGCTGGACGACGCGGGCAGCGACTCGTCCTTCACCTCCGCCGCCACCACCGCGTCTGGCGCTACCTTCTCCACGTGCTCGGGCGCGGGCGGCGGCGGCGCAGGGGGAGCTGCGGGCGCAGCGGGCGCAGGGGGAGCGGGAGCAGGGGGAGCGGGAGCAGGGGGAGCGTTGAGCGGTGCAGGGAGTGGTGGTGGTGCGGGTACTTGGAGAAGCGCGGAGGATGTGCTGGTGGGGGGCACTGGCGCTATGAGCCTCCTAGGGAGTTCGGGCGCACTGCCGCCGTCGCAGTATTGTCTGAACCAGCACAACGCGCATCCCCTTCAGCAGCAACACGACCAGCAGCACCACCAGCAGAAGCACCAGCAGCAGCAGCAGCAGCAACAGCAACAGCAGCAGCAGCAGCAGCAGCAGCAGCAGCAGCAGCAGCAGCAGCAGCAGCATGTGTGCGTGGAGGTAGCCTGGGCGTGTAACATCCACCTGTGCAGGCATCTGCTGCTATCAGCCTTCTCCCGGGCCGGCATGCGGCCGGCTTCGCTTGTCCTCTTCCACCCTGCCATGCCACCCTCTCCCCGAGTAGGCTCGGGGAGCAGCGCTCACTCCGACCTCTCCCCTTCCGCCCGCGCGCAGGCTGTTCCGCCGGCGCAGTTTGCGCCCTCCCCTTCTTCTGCCCCCGCGTTCCCCTCTGCGCTTTCCCCTTCCGCGCCCTCTGCTCCCCCCCCTGTTGGTGTGGGTACCGTCCCTCCTCCCTATGACACGGCCACACTGGGATGGATGCAGCTTCAGCTACCAAGGCACGAGCACGTGGATGAGAGGCGGATAAGAGACACACTTAGCAAAGTGGGAGCTGCTGCTGCCACCGCTGCCGCCGCCTCTGCTGGTAATTCTGGCGGAACCGGAAAAGGAGGTGCAGTAACAGCCGCAGCAGCAGCTTTTTTCAGTGGGGCAGCAGGGGGAGGAGCAGTGGCAGGAGGGGCGGAGCGTTTCGCCAGTTCACAATCAGGGGATGTGCGGATGGGGGAGGCGCAAGGGGCGGAGCGCAGGGGCAATCGCGGGAGGTGGGGGAGGAGAGCGGGGGGAGGGGGAGGTGGGGGGAGCGTTGGCGGGGGGAGTAGCGTTGGCGTTGGTGGGGTTAGTGCTGTTAGCGGTGTTAGCAGTGCGAGTGGTGTAAGCGGTGCAAGCGGTGCAAGTGGAGCAAGTGGTCTCAGTAGCGTGCCTGGGTCCCTGTCTTCTCTGTGGAAACGGGCTGATCTGGGGGGTAATGGGGATAGCACCCATGGGGGTGGCAAGGGCAGGCGAGGCGGGCGAGGAGTGCGGCAGAAGCGGGAGCGGGATGAGAGGGAGAGAGAGGAGCGGGAAAGGGAGAGGGAGAAGAGGGGGTTCCGGTGGGAGAGGGACGAGAGTGAGAGTGAGGAGAGGGAGAGGGAGAGGGAGATGGAAAGGGAGAAGGAGAAGGAGAAGGAGAAGGAGAAGGAGAAGTGGGGGTTTCGGTACTCAGGAAGAAAGGCAGGGGCAATGATAGACTCGCTGCTGCTGGGACTGTCCAGCAGAAAGGCCCCTCCTCCGCATGGTGATGCCTCCACGTCCTCCTCTGCTTCGGCTGCTGCTACCGCCGGTGCTGTTGCGGCCGCGGCTGTGTCCCTCTCGCCTCTGACTCTCTCCTCCCCTGCTGCTAGTCCTGGGCCTTCTTATGCGGCCACCTCCCCCCCGACCGCGTCTGCTGCTGCGCCTGGTGATGCGTGCGCTGCTGCTCCGGTTGCGGCCCTGGGGAATGCAGAGCGGGTGAGCGGTGATAGTTGTGCTATTGTGCCGATGGGGGGTGCCGGATTGGGAGGGCATATAGCAGAAGTAGCAGGAGCAGCAGTGGCAGCAGAAGCAGCAGGGATGGCAGGGGCGGCAGGTTGGCAAGGCATGGACATAGAGGCGAGGGTAGATGACAGCGATGCTCTAGATAGCGCTGGAGATGGGATGCGAGGAGGCGGAGGAGGAGGAGGAGGCGGAGGAGGAGGAGGAGGAGCAGGAGCAGGAGCAGGTGCTGCTGCTGCTGCTGCCGCTACTGGTGAGCTTGGCGACAGCAGTGGCAGCGGCAGCGGTAGTGGGCGGGGGGGTGTGCTGTTCTATGTGAGGAGCCGGGGGCGTGGGACGGAGAGCAGCAAGCGGGCGAGTAGGATCAAGGGCACGCGTAAGTGTGAGGGTGAAGGTACGGAGGCGTTGACACCGCATGCACATGCGAGTGAACCGGGGCCGTTGGAACGAGAGGGATCGACACAGACATGTGTGCAGGCAGAAGGAGCAGCAGGTGTGGTCGCACAGGGACAGCTGCAAGGGCATGGAGCGAGGGAGGGAGAGAGAGAGGGGGAGGGAGAGGGAGCAGGGAGGAGAGAGCAGGGGCGGACGCCTGGGAGAGTGATGGTGGGGGTAATGAAGCCGGTGAGTGGCCTGGGTGTTGCTCACAGGTTCGGGTCCACTGGCATGTTCGCTGCTGCTGCTGCTCCACGGATCGTCATTGCAGAGCACACAGGCGACACTGGCACAGGTGCCATGGCAGAAGGAGCAGCAGCACCCACAGCAGCAGGAGGGGCAGCCGCAGCAGCAGCAGCAGGGGGAGGAGGAGCCGCAGCAACAGCAGCGGGAGCAGCTGCAGCAGCAGGAGGCGAGGCAGGGGGCGGGTTGCTGCAGCTGCTGCTATCAGAGCAAGGAGCAATGAAGGAGAAACTAGGCAAGTTCATGCTGGACCCGATCCGCCTTGACATAGGCCACGTGCTCGCCGTGGGCGCCTCCGGCGAGGTGCGGCGCGGGCGCTACCAGGGCAGAGAGGTCGCTGTGAAGGTTCTCAAGGCGGAGAGGCATGAGGCGCATACGGCGAGAGCAGAGTTTCGGAGAGAGGTGGTGACGCTGGTGTCGTGCGGCGAGTGCCCGTATTTGCTGAAGTTTTACGGGGTTTGTGTGGATATGCGGCAGCGGATGTGTATAGTGACGAAGTTGATGAAAGGAGGGAATCTGCATGATATGCTGAGGCGGAGGCATGGCGTGGGGCTGCCGCTGCCGCAGCTGGTGAAGGTGGCGATGGAGGTGGCGCTGGGCATGCGGTTCCTGCACCGCCATGGCATCATTCACAGGTATGAGCTGCATGGGCGTTGCATGGGTGTTGGTTGGGTGTATTTTTGAGGCGCCTCAAAAGCAGCTGGTGAAGGTAGCGATGGAAGTGGCGCTGGGGATGCGGTTTCTGCACCGCCATGGCATCATTCACCGGTGCGTGCGTGTAGCGCGGGTCTTGTGTGGGTGTTGGATGGGTGTGGGATGGGTGTGGGATGGGATGGGTGTTTCTTAGGTGTGATGTGAGATGGGTGTTCATCGGGTGCTGGATGGGTTTGGGATGGGTGTTTGGTGGGACCGTGGGTGTTCAGATGGGTACTGAGGTTCCTAGCCCAGATGGTCGTTTGCCCATGTGGGTAGGTCTTTGCCTTTCCCGCCCTCCCATATCCATCTCCGCAACCCTCTCCACCCCGTCTAACCCTCCCACCGCTCCCCACCGCACCCAACCGCACCCAACCACCAGGGACCTCAAGCCGGCGAACGTGCTACTAGACGAGCAGGGGCGCGCCGTCGTAGGAGATTTCGGCGTGGCACGGCTCATCAGAGAGCGCGCCGAGATGACCAAGGAGGTGGGCACCTACCGCTGGATGGCCCCTGAAGCCTTCGGCACCACAGGGATTTTTAAGCCGCTTAAAATACCGCCCTCTTTCTTTCTCCCGTCTCCATCTCCCCAACCCCCTCCACCCCATCCAACCCCTCCCAACCGCGCCCAACCACCAGGGACCTCAAGCCAGCAAACGTGCTCCTAGACGAGCAGGGGCGCGCCGTCGTAGGCGACTTTGGCGTGGCACGGCTCATCAGAGAGCGCGCCGAGATGACCAAGGAGGTGGGCACCTACCGCTGGATGGCCCCTGAAGCCTTCGGCACCACAGGGATTTTTAAGCCGCCTAAAATACCGCCCTCTTTCTTTCTCCCGTCTCCATCTCCCCAACCCCCTCCACCCCATCCAACCCCTCCCAACCGCGCCCAACCACCAGGGACCTCAAGCCAGCAAACGTGCTCCTAGACGAGCAGGGGCGCGCCGTCGTAGGCGACTTTGGCGTGGCACGGCTCATCAGAGAGCGCGCCGAGATGACCAAGGAGGTGGGCACCTACCGCTGGATGGCCCCTGAAGCCTTCGGCACCACAGAGATTTTTAAGCCGCCTAAAATACCGCCCTCTTTCTTTCTCCCGTCTCCATCTCCCCAGCCCCCTCCACCCCATCCAACCCCTCCCAACCGCGCCCAACCACCAGGGACCTCAAGCCAGCAAACGTGCTCCTAGACGAGCAGGGGCGCGCCGTCGTAGGCGACTTTGGCGTGGCACGGCTCATCAGAGAGCGCGCCGAGATGACCAAGGAGGTGGGCACCTACCGCTGGATGGCCCCTGAAGCCTTCGGCACCACAGGGATTTTTAAGCCGCCTAAAATACCGCCCTCTTTCTTTCTCCCGTCTCCATCTCCCCAACCCCCTCCACCCCATCCAACCCCTCCCAACCGCGCCCAACCACCAGGGACCTCAAGCCAGCAAACGTGCTCCTAGACGAGCAGGGGCGCGCCGTCGTAGGCGACTTTGGCGTGGCACGGCTCATCAGAGAGCGCGCCGAGATGACCAAGGAGGTGGGCACCTACCGCTGGATGGCCCCTGAAGCCTTCGGCACTACAGGCCAATGGACCGTGACCCAACGCAGCGACGTCTACAGCTTCGGGATTGTCCTCTGGGAGCTGCTCACCGCGCGGTTACCCTACGAGGACTACTCGCCGCTACAGGCGGCGGTGGCGGTGGCGCTGAATGGGCTACGGCCGCCGCTGCCGCCGGGGTGCCATGCGGGGGTGAGGAGGCTGATTGAGAGGTGCTGGGCGCGGGATCCGGGGGATAGGCCGGAGTTTGATGAGATTGTGAGGGTGCTGGCGGCGATTGGGGGTGAGGGGGTGGGGGTGGAGTGGGAGGGGATGGGTGGTGCGGTGGAGGTGGGTGCGGAGGGAGAGGAGAGGGGGCGGGGGGTGGTGGGGGTTCGAAGAGGCGAGGAGAAGGACGGTGGTGGTAAAGCCGATGGTGGTCCTGGTGGTGGTGTTGCTGCGGCTGCCGCTGCTGCTGTTGGTGGGGGTGGGCACGCTGTTATTGCTGCGGAGGTTATGGAGCAGCACATGCCCAACAGCCAGCCCAGAAGTGACACCTTTCCTGCTGCTGCTCCCATGCAGGAACTGCAGCAGCCGCAGCACCACGCACAGCAGCAACAGCGGCCGCAGGTGGTACTGGTGGAGCAGCGGGGGGTGCAAGGAAGGCCCATGCAGCAGGGAGATTCCAGTGCAGCACTTGCATCCATGGAGAACGGTTCTGCTCGTGAGTGCTTGCAGTCGATAAGCGGGCCTGAGCGGGGTGGGAGCGAGAGCGAGGGGGCGATGGACGGGACGTGCGAGGAGGCAATGGAGGTGGTGGAGCAGATGCTTCCAGAGCTGCATGTCAGTGAGGGGGAGGGAGGGCGGGGCGAGAAGAACGTGCGTGCAGGACAGTGAAGGTGAAGGTGAAAGGTGCGAGTGCTCGTGAACTGCCGAAGCGAAGCAGCAGTGGGAGGAGGCGATGGAGGTGGTGGAGTGGAGCAGATGCTTCCGGAGCTGCATGTCAGTGAGAGGGAGAGGGCGGGGAGATAAAGTGCATGGAGGAGGAAGGTGAAGGGGAAAGTGCAAGGGAGGAGCAGAGGTGGGAGAGGTGGGATTGGAAGTGTCTTCACCAGCAGCAGAGCAGACCCGTGAAGCATTATTGAGCGACAGTTGAGGATGTCGCATACCCTCAACTACCAGTGATATCGACTTTTGAGGCGCCTCAAAGGATGTCGCATACCCTCAAGGCTTAAGCTGCTACCAGTAATATCGCGAGCAGCAATAGAAGCAGCAGCACCCGCTGTGGCAAGAGCAGCAGCTGCTATCGCTTCAGTCTCGGGCTGCGGATGAGTCTCACTTACAGCAGATTGTCGCACATGCGTTATGTCACACCACCACATCACACCACACCATGTCACACCACACCACGTCACACCACACCACGTCACACCACCACATCACACCACACCACATCACACCACACCACGTCACACCACACCACGTCACACCACCACCACATCACACCAGCGCACCATATTTGCAAAAGAGCTGGATACCACTCCCACCTTAACACAGGGAGTGATGCAGCGTGTTTTTTTGGGGGGGAATGCTGCCAGATACTGCTGCCAGTGTTGCTGCCAATGCTGCTGTGCTGTGGATGCGGCTCCCCTATTGTCAGCACCTGCTGCTGCCAGTGAGGCTAGATGATGATACCTATACATGCGGGGGGAATACGCAGGGACCATGATGGGATGCATGAGTTTGAGAGTCGAGTGTACGATCGGCAGCAGCACAAGCACAGCAGCGGCACAGAAACATGGCTGCACTGCACTACTGTGGTACTCCTTTCGTCCCCCCCCCCCCCCCTTCTCCATCTCAGTGTTGTGTTGTGCAAGCATGTTTTTTCTTCTCCCCTGCTCGCGACGAGCCCTGCTAGCTTCTTTTCTGCGCCACCCATAAGGCAATGGCGTGATTTCTCGATTTCTTTACAGCTGCAAGACACGTGGTGTGCCATGTTCTGATACCGTAGTATATTCAAAAAAGTGCTCATTTTAGTATCTGTTATTGCTTATAATGCTGGGCAGACTCCTCTCACCTCTTGCAAGTGAATATTCCCCAAGTGGCAGCATAGTGTCAAATGTTTATATGTTATAGATGTTAGTTATCTAGGCTACAGTGAGTTGCCCTCTAAAGGGTACAACATTCTCTAGGTCGACTTGTATCCCACTGTTCCTACTCACTAAAACAACTCTCTCGACACTTGTTCCTAGCCTAACTTAAGATGGTATTAGAGTAGGTAATTTTTCTCCCTCCCACGCTTCCGCTCCCTCCCTTAGCCGGTCCCGAGGCGCCCGTCCCTTAGGCCCCGTTTCGTCGCGGGTAGGACGGCCCCCGCGGGCCTCGTTTTCGCGCCCTCCGCGCCCTCCAAAACGCGCCCTCCGCGCCCTCCGCGCCCTCTGAAACGCGCCATCCGCGCCCTCCGAAACGCGCCCTCCATCTCGTGCGCCCTGCCTTAGCTCGTCGCGGGCCCCGTGCGCCCTGCCTAAGCTCGTCGCGGGCCCCGTGCGCCCTGCCTTAGCTCGTCGCGGGCCTCGTGCGCCCTGCTGTAGCTCGTTGCGGAGCCTCCGCCCGCCTAGCACGCCTCCGCCCCCTCTCGCACCCTCCATCCCGGGCCTAAGCCGTGCACCCTCTCCTTCGCCCACGCCTGGCGCTTTAGACCGCACCTCGCCCTCGCCCGAGCCCGTGGCTTAGCCCGCGCCTTACCCCGCGCCACGCGCCCTCCGTGCTTAGCCCCGCCCTCCGTGCCTCCCACAGGCCGAGCTCGCGCCCACGCCTTAGCCCTCGCCCTCGCCTTAGCTTGGGCCCTACCGACGCCCACCGACACTTGGCACTCGTCCCTTTCCCCACCACCACCCTGTTCGCTGAGCCCCAACCATTCTTACTGCCAGTGGTCTCTAGTTCAGCGGCTGGCAGCCGCTTCTCTCACCGGTCACCTAGGTTAGACCCGTGTGGTCACTAGCTCCTCGCCTCTAGCGCCCATCCCTGGAGTTCCTCGCCGTTTCACGCCTAGCCTAGGTCACTCCGTGCTCCTCGCCACTAGCTCCGCCGGTCTCCTTGCCTAGCCACACCTGGCGCTCCTCCATTTCCCTCCTCGTTCCTAGCTCCACCTCTTCCATGCTCCAACCGCCTCTAGCCTAGCCTCCAGTATGGAGTCTCGCCGCCTTCGGCTCGATGCGGAGGGACGCCCGATCGAGTTCAGTACCTGGCAGCGCCAGGCCACGCGCTACCTGACCAGTCAGCGTCAGGACGGCGCCACCTTGTGGGCCCACGCGTCGGGTGCCCTCAAAGCGCCCCTGTCCCCCGCCCCCCTCCCGAACGACCCAGAGCCGACTCCTGCGGCGCAGGCGGACTACGACCGTCGTGTCTTGGCGAGGGACGTGTGGGACTCTCGCGACGCTGCCGCCGCTCTTGCGCTGACGGAGCTCCTCCCCCCGACTGAGGCCGCCCACTTTGACCAGGTGGAGACAGCTCAGGGGGTTTGGGCTGCTGTTGTTGCACGCTATTCCACCCCTTCCTCTGCCTCCCTCAGTCGCCTCCTCATGCCGTTCGTGTTTCCCGACCTCGGCTCGTTTGCGACTGTTTCCGACCTAGTGACTCACCTCCGCTCGCTTGACGCCGGTTTCCGCGCTGCCTGTACCGACGCACAGCTTCTAGTTGCTCCCCCCCCCATGTGGCTCACTGTTCACTGGTTAGTCACCCGCCTCCCTGACCGCCTTGCCGCTGCCCGCGATGCGCTTCTTCAGAAGCACCCCACTGAGCTCACTATCGACCTCCTAGCGACTGCTCTAGGGACCATCGAGAGCAGTCTCCTCACCGTTGCCTCCGCCACTGATGCGGTGGCCCCCCGTCTCTTTGCGGGGTGTGCCGCCCCTCAGCTTCCCACTTTCACCGCTACCCGCCCTTCTGCTGCTGTGTTGGTCTCTGAGGACACCGCTGCCGTTTCTGCCGCAGACTGGCAGAAACGGGGCAAGAGTGGCAAGAAGGGCGGGAAGGGGGGAGGTGGGGGCGGTGGAGGCGGCGGTGGAGGTGGCGGTGGAGGTGGGAGCGGCGGTGGTGGCGGAGGCGGCGGCGGTGGCGGCGGTGGTGCACCAGGGGGAGGGGGCCTTGGAGGAGGTGCTGGACAGACAGGCCCACCCACAGGTGGTGGCCCGACCGGTGGGGGCGTTCCCCCCCAGCAGCAGCAGCCACAGCAGCACCTGCCACAGCAGGGACAGCAGCAGGAGCAGGGACAGCAGCACCAGCAGGCGCCGCAGCAGTTCCAGCAGTGGGGGCCCCCGCTGCAGTGGGGTCCGCAGCAGCACTGGGGTCCTCCGCCGCAGTGGGGTCCGGGAGGCCCTGGGAGCACCAGCCGCAGCAGCAGTACTTCCAGCTGGGCCCCTCGCCCCCCTCGCCGTGACGCTGGCCCGTGCACCCACTGGTGCGTCACCGGGCCGGGTAGCCCCTGTCTCTGTGGTCGCGACGACCACTCTGCCGCGCGGTGCTTCCGCCGCCTCGACGACCTCTACCGGGCTCGTTGGGGCCCTCTGGCGGTCACGCCTCGTTGGTCTCGTCTGTTAGCCCGTAAGATTGATGTCTTTGATTTGTCCATGGACGATGCGCGTCAGCATGCTTTGTATGTTGATGCTGACTTTAGTGCTGATGGATCTGTGTGCTCACGTGTTCGTAGGTTAGCCTGCTTTCCTCCTGCTAGTGTAGCCTTGTGCCTGTCTAGCTTAGGTGCTTGTGTTGCTGCTCTAGGTGCTTGTGTAGCGACTGGGTCAGGTGACCCACCGGCTGAGGCCTCTCTTTCGTTCACGCTGGACTCGGGCGCGTCTCAGTGTTTCTTCCGCGACCACATGACACTTACGCCGCTCCTCACACCTGTGTCGGTGGCTCTGGCTGATCCTACCTCTGGACCAGCCGATGCGCGTAGCTCCACCACCCTCCCATGCCCTGTGGTCCCCTCTGGTGTCCTGCGTGGCCTCGACATCCCCTCGTTCACTCGGAACTTGGTGGGTGTTGGATACCTCCAGGACAGGGGGATCACGGTTACCTTCGTGGGGGGTGGGCGGACTGCAGTCTGTACTGACGCTACCACAGGTGCTGTTCTGGCCACGTTCACCAGGGAGCCCCGCTCCGGTCTCTACGTTCTCCACACCGAGCGCTCCCCGGTCGCGTCCTCCCCTCAGGTCGTTGCGTCCCCTCCGGCCCAGGTCCCCAGTCCAGTTGCTGTGTCTAGCCAGGTAGTCGTGTCCAGTCCGGCCGCTGTGTCCAGTCCAGTCGCTGCGTCTTGCTCCTGTCGCTCTCTCGCCCACCGCACCGTCCTGTGGCACCACCGTCTTGGCCACCCGTCGATCCCTCGCCTTCGTGGCATGCTCAGTCAGGGACTAGTCACAGGTCTCCCACGCACCTTCCCGCCACTCCCTCTCTCACTTGCCCCTCCTTGCTCTCCGTGCGTCGCCGGTCGCTTACGCGCCACTCCCCACTCCTCCTCCCTTCGTCCGGCCACCGCTCCCTTCGAGACTCTCCACTTGGACGTCTGGGGCCCTGCCCCGACGCAGGGGTCTGGGAGGGAGCGTTACTTTCTGGTGGTCGTCGACGACTTCTCCAGGTACACCACGGTGTTCCCTCTTGCGAAGAAGTCCGAGGTGACTGCTACGCTGATCAGGTGGCTTCTAGCCACTGAGGGCACTCGTGGTCGTCGAGTCAGTTGTCTCCACTCCGACCGTGGGGGCGAGTTTCGCTCCGGCATTCTCGGCGGATTTTGCGGCGAACAGGGCATCACCCAGTCCTGGACGCTGCCAGAGTCCCCACAGCAGAATGGGGTTGCTGAGCGCCGCATAGGCTTGGTCATGGACATCGCCCGCACGTCCATG